GAGCTGGTTCCCTAGTACCTTTCAATAGTGGGCTGTCTATCTATCTGTCTGTCTGTCTGTCTATCTATCTAATCTATCATCCATCCATCCATCTTTTGAGATAGGGGCTTGTGTATTCCTGACTGACCTCGAACTCACTATGTAGCCAAGGATGATGGTGAAGCGCTAATCCTCCTACCTCCATCTCCCAAGTGCTAAAGTAAAAGCTGTGTGCCTCCATGTTGGTTTGATTCATTGCTATGCTAGGTGATCAAAGCCAGGGCTTTGTCGATGCTAAGCAAGCCCTCTATCCAGTGAGCAGATCCCTAGACTCTTTTATTTATTCTTATTTCAGGGTCACAAATTTACACTTTGTTAATGTGTTTCAAACCATGGCTGTTGTTATCTTTCATAGCTACCTCATCTGTCACAGTGGGAGGCCTCTTCGAGTCAGCTTCCGGGTCCTCTCTGTCCAATTCTATCTAGTTAGTGCAGCATCCTAGCATTCTAGAATGAAAAGATGTTCTAGGCTCGCCTTGTGCATTTACTAACCTGGATGGAAGCAGCCATTTCTTCAAGAAGCTTTGGTTCTTTTCAATGGACAATGCCTAGTGGCTTTAAAAATATGTGCATAAATAGTTAAAAACCACCAACTTGAGGAAAGTAAAAGGGAAGACCAAAATAAACATGAGATGACTCAAGCTGCAAGCAGCAGAGAATATACAAGAAATGGAAAACATTTTAAATTCAATTACAAACTAATTTGTATCTCCTTACACATGAAAACTATTTTTATGAAGCAGTAAGTTGAAAGTATGACAGCTAACATTGTAATGAGGAAAATAAGAATCTCAGGATTCAAAGATAAAAGTTGAAGAAGAGTCTACCAAAATTAGAACAACAGGATCAAGAAGTGAAACATAGGGAATGCCAGAAAACTACAGGGAGTATCAAGGCATACAGTTCAACCTGGGGTTCGACTAATACACTTTCCAAAATAAAGAAAGGAGAGAGTGAGGAAGAAAGGGCAAAATAATGTAAGAAAAGGCTTCAAGTCAAAAATTAACGGAGTTCTCAGAAGTGACCCAAACTTACATCAAATTAAAAACCCTGTTTCTATGGGGTGGGGGAAGCATAAAGCTTCCAGAGTCTAAAAAAGACTAAATGGGGTTCTTCTGAATGACGAGGAGGAATTACATCAGATCTCTTCAAGTGATCCCAGAATAGAGAAGACAGTTGATACGTGATTATAAAACTGGGTGAAGGCTATATTCAACCTAGAATTCTGTATGAAAGCAATCAGTATAAAGAAAGAATTGATCAGACAGGCGTGAACTTTAAAAATTGATCCACAACGTTCTTTTTTAGGAAGATACTGGAGTTGTGTGCCACCAAAGTAAGCAAACAAATCAAGAACCAAGGCAACATGGCTTCCTGAAGGAGAAGAGAGGCAAACCCCTGGTTTTAGCCAGCAGGAGGCCTCACAAGCAATGGGCTCACTGGGAGGCTGGGATATGAAGATGAGGAAGGAAACTAATAGATTATCAGAATCACTTGTGCACACAGAAATTATATGGGAAGCCGGGAAGTGGTGGCACATGCTTTTAATCTCACCACTTGGGAGGCAGAAGCAGGCAGATCTCTGTAAGGTCAAGTGCAGCCTGGTCTACAAAGCAAGTTCCAGGACAATCAGAGCTGTTATACGGAGAAACCCTATCTCAGAAAAACAAAAACGAAATTGTATGGAGAGGCATTTCCTTTGGAACATTTAAGAAAAATCAACGGAGGTTGTTTGAGAAAGAAAGCTGCCTCCGATTATGGGTATTTGACTTTCAGATAGCCGTTTTCACAATTTAATGAGTCTGCAATCAGGTGTGTCACACAATGTACAGCATCTTGCAGTCACTGTTGGCCAAACTTCAGTCCTGATGTAGTTGTTGTAGCCTGAGCCCATGGTCATTATCCTTGCCATCTGACTGGACAACAGCAGCCCCTTTGACACGACAGTCATTGTAAGCTCATACAAAATAGGTGAATCTGAATTGGTCAGAGACCTGTGGACACCTCTGGTAAGATCAAGAGAGGATTGCATCCAAACTTGCAGAACAGAATCAGTGGCTCGGAAGAAAGTCCTGCAGACCAGAATGAACTGCTCCAAGAATTCCTGCCTTTCTGAAACCCTGTGTAATTCAACAAATGATGCTCTATATAAAAGAAAAGCAACAAAATGAATAGTGACAGCTCCAAGTAGAAAGGAAACCAGAAGAGATGTGCACAGAATGTAAGAAGGTTAAAGACACTTAGATTTACTGACATTTTCTTCTTTTTTTAACGTGTAAGATCAATATGTGATGGAAATACATCTAAATAAGAGCGCTTCCAATAAGTTTACATTAAAAATTTAGGCGATGAAAAGTGTTGACTGGCAGCCTATTTTCTTTACCAAGGTTTGCGTCACAAAGCAATGGCTTATAGCCAGGGAACTCCGAGGCACTAGCTGGTTGAAGGGAAGAGTTTAGTACTTACAATAATGTGAATACTAGTGTAGGATCTTAATTAAAATATGAACTTTTGAGGAAGGATGGATAGAAGGTATGGAGGTGTGCTCTGGGCTGGGGTAAAATGGAGATAGACAAGTGGGAAAGCCTTCTCCTGTCTAATACTGGGTGTGAGATGGATTTACATATTGGGACTTTTAGGTTTTGGGGTTTTGTTATGTTTTGTTTTACTTTTGGTGTGTGTGTGTGTGTGTGTGTGTGTGTGTGTGTGTGTGTGTGTGGGCGCGGGCGCGCGGGCGGGCGCGCGTGCTGGCGCGCGCACGCACACCTGTACTCAGGGAGGCCAAAACAGGATATCAGATTGCCTGGAGCTGCATTTACAGGTGAATGTGAGTCACCCAATGCGGGTGCTGGGAACTGAACCCCATCCTCTGCAAGAGCAGCAAATGCTCTTACCTGATGAGCAGTCTCTCCAGCCTTGGGGTGTAGTTTCTAACAGCTACAACTAGGAAGTAGTTGCTGTAGGGCAAAGCCACTGTAGCTTGGAGGGAGTGGGTTACTTGGAGGGGTATTATTAATAATTGTTTTATGTTTTTAAAGATTGTGCATCATTACTTTGGTAAAAATAATTTTCAAATAAAAATGACTTTGGAAAGCCCTTTCTGTGCTGTTACTGTTAAAAACATGCATGTTCTTTTGGGGCCATATGGTCTAACTTTTGGTTCATGGCATCTGTTTGCTGTGACAGTAGGCAGAAGGCTACTGAGTGCTCAATGGTCTGCTTTGCAGCTTGTTCCTTTCTAGCTTTGTGACCTTGATCAGATTAGTTTTCTCCCTATTACACCAAAGATCAAAGAGAGAATGAGAAAGTCCCTGGCATGTGTCTGTGCTGCTGTTGAGTTCTGTACCACCTTAACTTCCCCCTTTATAACAGGCTGGCCCCTTCAGTGTGCCACATGAAGGAACGCCAAGGCTCTGTGCAGCTCACCATCACTACCTATTGTCTGTGTTTCAGAAACCCCAAGAACTCTTATATATCCTTCTCTCTATTGTGAGGCTCAACCTGGGACTGATGGGTCCTGAGAACAATGCTTAGTCATTTCCACCCAGATGAACCCAGACCCTAAAGGTCATCTGCCCTTTCAAGTTGAGGAGAAGCAAAGCTGGAGAGGTAGACCCAGCATGCTTAATGGAGACCAGCTCCTGGGTGCAGGTTCTTGCACGGATCAGCCTCTCTCTGCTGTAAGCAGCCATGCTTCTCTTGAGGTGTATGTCCAGTCTGGAAAGCAAGAAACAGCCCTGTGGCTCCCTCCTTGTCCCTTGCTTCCCAGTGTCTAGCAAAGCAGCTTTGTGAGAAATTAGAGAAGAGTGTATTGAGGGGGATTGAGAGAGAGAGAGAGAGAGAGAGAGAGAGAGAGAGAGAGGGAGAGAGAGAGCGGGCGAGGAGGGGGACAGGAGAGAGAGAGAGAGAGAGAGAGATCTGCTTACTCAGGCCTTCTAGGACAGGTTGTGTGGTTCATGTTTATACATCAGTGCTGTGACAGTTGCCTGTGTGAGATGTATCACCTATCTCCTTCAGAAATGGGGAGAGAGTAAATGTGGGGGTACCCTGGGTGGAGACAACTCTCTCCTAATCCCCTGAGCATGAGTAAGCTGTGTCCCCAGCCCATTTGCCCATGGCAGTGTGAATGATGCCTCAAGGGAGTGAAGAAGGGAGGAAAACTAAAGCTTCAGTTTGTCCCCAGCATTCTATAAAATGGGAATCACAGGGATGCCTGTGGCCCCAGAACTCAGAAGTCAGAAGCTGGGGAATCTGAGGTTTGAGGTCCTCCTCAGCTTATGTTTAAAAAAAATAGAAGAAGGGAATGACAGACTCCATGAGAGCAGCAACTGAGGCGAGAGGAAGTCGTCATCCCTAGAGACAATGGGATAAAGAGCACAAATACACATAGCCTATGAAGAATCTTACTCATGGCCTACCTCGCACCTTAAATTGTCACCAAGGACCTCAGTGTCTACAGAGATTGAGGGAGAAAAATCATGTGTTGCGGGGGCTTAGTGGGAAAATAATAACTCCTATTTCTAAGATTTTCGAAGTCTAACCTTTGAAAAGAGACCCAGGTTAAGCCTCCTACTCCTTCGAGGGATTTCTGGAAGCCACATTTTCTGTCCCCCACCAAGATCTGGGTGACAGACACTGAAAACCCTTCCTGGCCACTTGCAGCTTCATAGCTGACCTGGGGAGAAGGTCCCAGAAAGCTGTGTGGGGCTTATGGAGCCCACGAAGGTTGAAAGCAGGTTCCTTAGGTGTCCCCACCCCAATCAAGCAGAGAAGGTGTTAGGCTGAGGGACCGCCCTTTAGTTAAAAACTTCTGGGTGAGAATTTCTGATAGCCCCCAAATGCCTCAGATGCTGGGGTAACCTTCAGGCTACCCAGACCCTTTCCAGCTTCCTGTCTTCCCCACAGCCTGCTGTGAGCAGTGTCAGGGAGCACAGCAGGTGATGTCCTTGTTCCTTCCACAGGCTACAGAGTGGGCCTCCAGTGAGGACACACGGCGCTCCTGCCAGAGCAAAGGGAAGACTGAGGTACATGCCGGAGGAAACAGGGGCTCTGCTGGAAGCTTCTGATCAGACGTTGGGGGTCCTTGTGAACATGAGGTCACTGTCCCAGAAGCCTGACTGGGATGAGGGAGAAGGGAGACAATGGATTCCCACAGACACAAGCTGGACCTCAGAGCAGCATGGTTCCGGGGCAGGGATGTTGCGGGGCATTCATTGGCATCTGTGATGCAGCAGTATGAAGTAAACATGCCCAGGACCACACATGCAGAGCTGTGGCCCTCTATCGTTTTCCTTCCCGCCTCAGGAGGAGTGTCAGAACTATGTGCGAGTCCTGATTGTTTCCGGTCGGAAGGTGTTCATGTGCGGCACCAATGCCTTTTCCCCAGTGTGCTCCAGCAGACAGGTGGGCCATTGGGAGGGGCAGGCAAAGAGGGGTGTTAGGGGATGGTGTCTTACCCAGGCACACAGTCTTGGAGAGGGGGATGACAAATGTACTAGGGTGGGTGGAGAATGTATGTTCATGAAATACTAGGACAAGCATAAAATCCATTCTTCATCTAAGATTCAAATTGAACCTCTCTTTAGTATTTTCTTTGTCAGTCTTACTTGAAACATCCATCTGGTATCCACCAGAGACTCATGAAGGACCTTACCCTTTGTAATGATTATGAGATCACAGGATGGCAGGGTGCTTGAGATGGGGGTGCGACAGGAAACAGAAACCAAGGGTTCCAGAGGAGACAACTCTGAGGTGGAAACAACAGATGGTCCCAGGACCTCTTGGGAAAGCTCTCTTCTCCCACCATCTCCAGGTGGAGAACCTCAGCAGGACCATCGAGAAGATCAATGGTGTGGCCCGCTGTCCCTATGACCCACGACACAATTCTACAGCCGTCATCTCCTCCCAGGGGGAGCTCTATGCCGCCACTGTCATCGACTTCTCAGGTCGGGACCCAGCCATCTACCGCAGCCTGGGCAGTGGGCCACCACTTCGCACTGCCCAGTATAACTCCAAATGGCTCAATGGTAAGGTGACCCAGGCCTGGGGCAGGGCTGTCCTGCCTTCGAAACCCCATTGGCCTTTCCCTGTCTCAGTTGCATCATCAATAAGGTGGATAGGACAGGGAAGATGTTTGCCCGAAGACCAAGACACACTGGCGCTGAGCCCCAGATGTCCCGAGGACAAAGAGCAGACAAAGGGCAGGCTGTTAAGGGAGAGAGTTAGAAATGGAATGGAGTAGTGGTTAAGGGAAGGAAGAAATTAGGAAGGAAATGAGGACAGTATGAGCTTCCTATCCCTTGAGGTTGAATATAATTCTTTACTAACTAGCTGTATGGCCTTGAACAAGGACCAAGCTGCTCTCTGCTGTGGTGTTCTCATCTGCAATGGGGCAGTAGTCATAGGGCTTGCCTTATAAATTGTAGTGAGGATTAAATGGAGGAATCAATAAAGTTATTACGATGGGGTATTTTATCCAGTGAAGCCTCTATTAACAATAGCATTGTTAACAAATATGAATGCTTCACTCGACAGTGGAAGCAGGAACAGCCTGACTTAGAGCCCCTGGGTCAGCAAGGAGGGATTCAAGATGCCCACTCAAGAACACTGAAACAGTCGAGTTCTTCCTACTCTGCCTTCTTTTTCCATCCCCACAGAGCCAAATTTTGTGGCATCCTTTGACATTGGGCTGTTTGCATATTTCTTCCTTCGGGAGAATGCAGTGGAACACGATTGTGGGCGCACTGTGTACTCTCGGGTGGCTCGAGTGTGCAAGAATGATGTGGGCGGCCGTTTCCTGCTGGAGGACACATGGACCACGTTCATGAAGGCACGGCTCAACTGCTCCCGCCCAGGAGAGGTCCCCTTCTACTATAACGAGCTGCAGAGTGCCTTCCACCTACCCGAGCAGGACCTCATCTACGGCGTCTTCACCACCAATGTGTGAGTCCCCCACTCTCTGCTGCCCATCTTCCTTGTCATTCCAGGGCTTGCCCTGCCTAGCCTGGCAGCCTGGTGGGCTTATCAGACCCTTTCTCAGAGTCTGGTGTGTGTCTTCATCCATATAGTAGAGATCCCCTTGCTCTTGCGGCTAGTTCTTTGTGACTCACCACCTCTGGAATAGTAAGCACCTGCTCTGAGTTGCTAGGAAGGGCAGATCCAAGCCAGATGTGCAGAAAGGGAGGGGAGCTGCCTGATAGCTCCTAAAGGGAGAGTGTGCTGGTGAGGACAGTGGTCAAGCCTGCAGGGGATGAATGGGTGGCAGCCCCAGGAACAGATTCTCTATGGTCCCGTCTAACCTAAGTGTGGCAGCATTCTAAGAATCCTGCCACCATCTCCCTCCTGGCTACACAAGAACCTGCAGGCTGCCATTTGGCACCCCTGTTGTTTCCTTAGATATGAGGAAGAGCAACCTTTCCAGTGATGTCATACTCGCCTGTACTGCTCCTCCATGTGGAGGCTAGCAAGTCACATGATCCTCAGGTTAAGAGTGATGAATGGGCACCATTGAGACTGAGGAAGGCCTTTGCAGCAGGGAATGCTCTGTGGGGTGTTTTGTAAGGACATCAGGAGCTTTGTGAGCCACAGAGTGATTCCAGGTAGCAGGCACTGGATGCCCCAAGTTGTCTACAGAAAGAACAGTCTGGGGGGACAGGCAAGGATGCGGGTAAGACTGGCAAGCAGCAGCAGAGAGGCCATCCTGTCCAGGGGACAGATATTCAGCACAGCTCACACAAGCCAAGAGCTGAAAGCCAGCTGACCATGACTAAGTGTGGCTAGCTCTCAGTGTAGGGGGGTGTTTGACTGTGAGCAGAGGGCAAAAAAGCTGGAGAGACATCAAGGAAACATGACAATATCAGTGTAGACTATAAACAGTTTATTGTGTAACCCCTCCATGCCAGGTGCTTGTCCTGGGGTGGGGGTGGGGTGGACAGCAGTGAGCTAAAGCAGTCATGGCAATGCCATTAAGGGGGTGACATTCTAATGTGGGTGAGGCTATTTTGAGCAACCCGTTTTAACCTTGGTAACTCCTACAAAGGGAGAAAGCAGGGTGCAGGGTGGAGATCACAGGAGGCTTCCTATGGGAAGCGAAGTTCCTGGGATTGGCAGGGCATTCCAGCCCCCACGCAATGAATTGTGCAAAGCTCTGGATGGAAAAAAAAAGAAAAGTTTCATGCATTGAGAAGAAACCAGTGTGACAGGAGCATTGAAGGCAGAGAAGGGAGGTGGGAGAGAAGCCAAAGAGTAAGGCTGGGGTGGGGTGGGGGTTGTCCCAAGGACCTTGTAGACTGCTCTCTGGGGTTTGATCTTTACCCTGTAGACAAGGAGACATTACTGAGGGATTTGAAACAGGTCAGTGAGCAGCTAGGTGTGAATTTAAGGACTTTCATGCCGGCTGCTTTGTGCAGAATGGCTTAGGAGCCTATCCAGGCCGTGGGGAGACCCAGGTTAAGGACAGATTAAGACCCAGGTGCACAGAGGTGTCTGGGACCAGGCAAAGGGAGAGGATAATGGACACACCTGGGAGAGAAACCAGTACAGAGACTAGAACTGGACAGGTGGGCGTGACAATGTCATCTCTGTGAGCTGTTCATGCCACATTTATATAAACTCGTGTTTCTGGGCCTGAAAGGGCTGTGGAAATCATCTAGTTCTAAAGAGTTGCAGGCTGCAGCATCAATCAGTGGTTTGCTGACCATCTATTTAATACATATATGCAAACAGCAGAATAGATTGGAATCAAATGTCAAAGTATAACATATTTAGCTTGGATAGTGTGTCATGAGACTCCAATATAGTTGTAATATAAAATGTATTAATTTGAGCCATTGACTGTGTCCCACCCCTCCCTGAATAAAGGAAGGGGATGAGGAAGTGACACCAAAGGATGCCCCAGCGCTTATTGCCAATGGAATCCTCCTGTGGTAACGTTGGAGAGTTTGAATATTACATACCCTTCATTGTGCAAAAGGCACCAGACTCATCCTAGCCACTTCCCAACCTGGGGGTATTAGGAATGGTGGTAGACTGAGGGGCCTCAGAGGAGGATGCTTGGTCCACAAGGAGGGCCGAATCCCAAAGGAAGGACTGCATTTCACCGTGACCTCTTGCCTTTTAGAAACAGCATCGCCGCTTCTGCCGTCTGCGCCTTCAACCTCAGTGCCATCTCCCGGGCTTTCAATGGTCCATTTCGTTACCAGGAGAACCCCAGGGCTGCCTGGCTCCCTATCGCCAACCCCATCCCCAATTTCCAGGTACAGCTTCTCTTCCTTTGCCTCTCACCAGCCACAAGGTAACTCTCAGATGCTCAGCACAGGCTAACACCAGCTTGTTCCTGTTGCTCTATGCTTGTCTTTGGGGTTTGTGATGGGTCTCCAAGAGGGTGGTAACTCCGCTGACTGCAGTTAAGCAAAGCTAGGGAACTGACCCACATGCCCAGAGAGACAGGGACCTCAATTCTACAAAGTAGGAGAAAGTAGGAGGACTCTACATGGGACTCACAGACTTTGGGAGTTTTATCTGGAAATCATTCATAGTATGTGTAGTGCAGGAACTAATACCTATAGTATCTCTGAATACAGGGAGCAGTTAGGACTATCGTGGTTGATACATGCATCCCCATTCTGTAATGGGAAAGCATAAGGGGACTGATGAGAGACTTTATTATTTGTTTGTTTGTTTTGAGGAAGGTCTCACTGTGTTGCTGTGGCTGGCCTGGAACTCACTTTGTAGCCAAGGCTGAACCCTGAACTCAGAGTCCTCTTGCCACTGCCTCCTGTATGCTAGGATTGAAGGTGCGGGTCACCATGCCCATCCTAGATGACAGACTTTCAAGGCCTTCCAACTGCCCGCTCCAGGGGTGATGCAGCTTGGGAAAGACTTGGGCTTTTCAGTTCAGCAGTTCTGAGATAGATCCAGCCCAGTGATGCTGGGCAGGTCACCCAACTCCCTCGAGTCTCTTATTCCTTTACTGGAACTAGAAACAGGACTATGCTGGGTCATCCCTTCTGGGTCTGTGCAAAGCTTGTTGTGATGCTTTAAACTAGAAACACAAACTTGGAGCCCGTGGGGGATATAGAAGAAAGCAGCTTGGTTCACTGTGGCAGCGGATGCCTATGAAGCAGCTTAAAATTACAGGACACCATTCACATTCAAATGATTTGTCTGGACAGACCCCTTCACCCTCCCATCCTCTTCCCCAACCCTACAGGTCTCACCTCCTCCATCTTCCCAGCCTCAGTTTCTCCTAGTTTTAAAGAAAATTTATCCTTCCTTAAAAAAAGAATTAGGGACCCAGAAAGAATACTGAGGACCAGGGGTGTTGAAGAATTAGTGTCTACCCAAGGTCTCCATGGGTGGGAAGGAGGCTATGACAATCCCTGCATGTGAGGACTGGCCTCCAGTGACTGGGTTCCTTGTGGCAGTGCGGCACCCTGCCTGAGACTGGCCCCAACGAGAACCTCACCGAGCGCAGCCTGCAGGACGCACAGCGGCTCTTCCTGATGAGCGAAGCTGTGCAGCCAGTGACACCAGAGCCCTGTGTCACCCAGGACAGTGTCCGCTTCTCACATCTCGTGGTGGACCTTGTGCAAGCTAAGGACACGCTCTACCATGTACTCTACATAGGCACGGGTGAGCCGCCCCAGGCCCATCTGCGCTGCATTTGAGGAAGTGGTTGTTGCTTGAAGCTGCCAACGCTTCAAGACCTCTTTTCTCTGACCCCCCAGAGTCGGGCACCATCCTGAAAGCGCTGTCCACTGCCAGCCGCAACCTGCGGGGCTGCTACCTGGAGGAGCTGCACGTGCTGCCCCCTGGGCGCCTTGAACCTCTGCGGAGCCTGCGCATCCTGCATAGTGCACGTGCGCTCTTCGTGGGCTTGAGCGACCGGGTGTTGCGGGTCCCGCTGGAGAGGTGCTTGACCTACCGAAGTCAGGGGTAAGCCAAGGCAAGAGGGCAAGGAAAGGGCCCCAGGGGCGGTCTGTGGTGGTGGTGGCTATCCCGCCAATCATGCCTCGGAGGTGGCGCTAAAGTGGTGTGGCTTTGGAGTGAGCACCTGCCCTCGCATCCCGGTGGGTCTCCAGTTAGATAGTGCCTTGGGAGGAGTCACTTTACCTCTTCAAACATTGGATTCCTTCTCCTGAACCATCTTGGAAGGATTTTGTTAGTGTTAACCAGCCTTAATCACTGCCTAAGGGAACCATGCACTTAGCAAATTGTGGTGGCTATTATGTTTGTGGACAACCCCATAGATCTGGCCCGCCAGCCGTCTCTAGCGCCCTTGATTTGCTCTCAGGTCCTTTAGTTGAGAAAGAGAGATCGTTGCCTTTGAAACCACAATCCTTCTTGCCCAGATGTGAGGCAGTGGGGAGATGATGCCTGGGTCGGCCCCAAGTCTTCAATTTTCTTGAAGGCAGACAAGCCAGATGCAGCAGGCATGTAGAACAGCAATGTCCCATTGCTTTTCGGTCACATTTGCCCTAAGTGGAGTCACAAATTTGGCAGCTGTAACACCAGTATTTAAGGGAAGAAGCCAAGGCCAAATGGAACTGTGTCCCAAACTCCCAGCCCTTGAGGCCACCCTGGCTGCCTCCCTTCCTCTGTATGATCATCAAACCAGCCACGTGGCCTTCATGGCCTTTGCAACAGAGTCCTCCTGGCTGTGCCATCTGTCCTTGGGATTTGGGAGACAAATGGGCTCCAGGCTGCCAAGGGTTGCTCTCGGAGAGCACTAGGAGCTTGGATGGAGGCCTGCAGTCGGGGGAGGAGGAAGGATAGATGGGTGTAGGAGGCCCCTGTGTGATGGGCAGTCACTGGAGCTCTTCTTAGCCCCCGCACATGGTTCCATCAGAATGACACACATTTACACAGACCTGCTGTGTACAGAGTGCCTTGCTAAGTTGTTGGCGTGAGGAGAGGCTTGTGGGACTAGACCTCCATAGCTGCAGCCCTCCACACTCCGAAAATCTGGTTAGGGAGAGCAACCCTGGCCTAATTCTGCCGAGGTGGGGAAGGCAGAGGGTGTCTTGGGAAGGGTGCAGATGGTAGAATTAGATGGAAGTGGGAAGCCACCTCAGCGCCACTCTCCATGAAGCACATGATCTTAAGCAAACTGTGTAACCATTTTGAGCTTCAGTTCTCTTGCCAGGAAAATGAGGGATTTGATGGCAGTGATGTTTTATTTTGGCAGAATAGTAAAGATCAGGCCTGGTACTCATGAAGGCTAGCAAGTCATAAAGGAGAGACAGTATCTTTATTCCTTTTTTATTTTCTGCAGTGGCTTTTTGGGAGGCTCCAGCCTCCTGGGCTTTCTGGTCTCTGAATCTATGACACCAAATACATGTAGCTCTGTTTGGCCAGAAAGCAGTGGCTACCTGCTGATAGCATTTCCCTTGTTTCTGTGTTCTCTTTAAATACTGTGTTGCTATTAAACTTTTAGCACATGTTTCTCTTATTCTCCAAGAGGTTGTAAATCCTTTATGGAAAACCCAGTGGCCCAGTATTTTTTTTTCACTAGTCAGCCCTGCCCAGCACAGGGTGACCTTCCTCCCAGCGCCAGGACTGATGCTTCAGTCAACTGATTATTTGGTCCAGGAAGAGGCTGGTGCAGGGGAGGCATGAGGAATGGGCCTTGCCAGCTGAGAATGCCCTGGAGGATTTTGACCTGAATCACAGAGGTGGCACAATGGGGTAGACCATCCTGAAATGTTCTCTGTAAGACGGGCTAGACTGGCTAGTAACCTTGTCATGAGACAGATAGACACCTGTGATGGGTTAGTGTGGCTCCAGCCCACTTCAAAGCCATGGGTCTGCTGTGGGATGAGAGGATGGTGAGGGGCAGGGATATTTCCCCACTCGCAGGATCTTGCGGAGGAGACCAGGAGCTTGTGTAGTGTCCCCAAGATACTGTCACTCTGCAACAAGATGGCAGAAGGTCAGCTCAGAGTCTTGGTTCCTGTGTTTGGTTTATAAGCCACTGAAGTGTACAATGAAAATCCTATTATAAAGCTACAGGTGGGTGCCCTCCCCACACACGCCATGGCAAGAGCATGCCTGCCCCCTATGTAAAATAAATAAATAAATAAGGTTAAAAAACAACAACAGGTAGATCTAAAACCTAGAAACTGCAAAATCCTGTTATTGCAAAGTTAATAAATGAGACAAGCAAGCATGTGCAGCCAACAAGCTGTGTGCTCTATATGTCAGGGAGCCAAGTACCAATCACAGCATATCAGAATTAGTGCTGTCAAGTGGCGGGGGGGGGGCTTTGATATATTCTAGGCATTTCATGTTTGTCCCCGTTACTCCAAAGTTGGCAGGAAGATCAAGTTGGGTAAGCAGAGACACTACCCAGCTCCTCCTCTACCAGCATCCAGGAGCTTGCCTCTATCTGGCTTCCTCCTCTACCAGCATCCAGGACCCCTACCTCTTTTAGTCAGAGAATTCTCAGTTCCACAGCATATAACCAATACTCTGGCTTGGCCAGAGAGGAGCTAAGATGCTCAATCCATGACTCAGCCCTTTCCTTCCAGTAGACCTTTCACCTCAACCCTAGCTCACTCACAGATATCCTCAATGGAGTCTCTTCCCAACCAGGTCCTTGTTCTGGCAGTCTTAAGTAACTGTTACTTGCCCCAAAGCGCCATCCATGATGCTGTCTCTACCCTGGACAGCTCCCCCCACCCACAATTGCTGCAGGGAGCTAGGATTCTCAAGCTTACAATGCTAGCCATCCATCTCTGTCCTACTAGTGAGCCACTGGAATAAACCTGTTCCCTTTTGTAATGGCTGCTTGAAACACCTCAGTAAAAAAGACACGGTGATGTATTGTTGGCCTGATGGCTCCTTTCTTGAAAGAACTCTAAATTCCCACCACTTTTCTACAGTGACAGGCACGTCTGTGCTCTTTAGCATGGGACTTTCATTTTCCAAAGCACAGTCCTTGTTCTGTCAGCTTTGAAGTGCCCTTTAGCCCTAAGGCAGTGAGTGTGGACTCACCTGAGCTACAGGAGGAGCAATAATACCCTTTAGTTACTAGCAGCAGCAGCAGGAGGGGGAGGAGGAGGAGGAGGGGAGGGGAGGCACTGGCCCTGGAGAGCAGAATCTCAAAGGACCAGTGGCATAGGCTTTTCTGTAGAGAACCCACCCTCCTCTTTTTTCTCAGGACCTTAACTGGAAAGGCAGAGAGAGCAAGTGAACTTGGTTTCTACTGTGTCTTTCTCCCCTGTCCCCCTATTTTGTCAGGACCTGGGGGAAACAAGATCCCACTTGGCTGGGGACCCTAGCAAACATGGCCCTGGAACAGAAGTTTTCAACCATAACTATTCACTGGAGATTGAAATGCCGTAACTATTCACTGAAGTTTAAAGACTCTAACCCTGGACTTCCAGTTCCAGAGGCCTAGATGCAGGGTGGCATTTTGTTCTGTTTGCTTAAACCTTTCGAAAGATACCCAGGACTTTAGGATCTGCACTCAAGACTGGACACGACTGCTTTAGACCCAGCAAGGCTCCAGAGGAAGAAGTAACACGAGGCACACTGGGTTCCTTCAGAAACTTCTGCTTTAGTCTTACAAAAGCCCATCCAAAATTTCCATCCTTAATCATTCCCTCTGCTAGCAGATATTTGTTTTTGTTGGGTAAGACTCTTACTTTGGGGTTTGCAGGGTGGTTTTGTCAACAAAGCACTTGCCTTGCAAACATGAGGACCCAAGTTCAACCCCCAAACCCACATAAAAATGCCTGGTGTGGTGACTCTCACTTGTAATCCCATCATTGGGGAGGTAGGAGGATTCTAGGGTCTGATGGCCAGCAATCTAGCTTAATTGGTGAGCTCTATATCCCAGTCAGAGACCCTGTCACAAAGGAGATGGGTGTGTGACACCCATGGTTGTCCTCCAGCCTCCACATACAAGTGTATACACGTGACTGAACATCTGTGTGAGTGTGCACACCAGACACACAGAATCTTGTTTGTTATCATCTATAACAAGTCATGGGCTCTGTTCGATTCTGAATGGCTGGATTTGCTTCTTATGGTCTAACTCTCAGGATCTCACAGCTATAGGTGCCAGTATTCCTTGTGCACTTGGATTATTTTTGAGCCCCCACAACATCCAGTTTGGTAAATTCTGTTGGTGGAAAACCTTCAGATCAAACTGTTGGTCCCAGAGGCAAAATATGAGCATGCTTATGCTATAAAATGTATTTGCTGTCTTTGAGTGAGTAAAGAGGGGACATTCACTAGCCACAGACAAGGGAGTGCTCTGGATTCCCAGGGAGGCCACAGCATGCTCTGTGGGGTCCAAGCAGGGTCTCAACCACAGATGCCCAAAGCACTGACTGGATTATACAAGATCATAGGCCAGCCTGGAACAGGGGCTCACACTATTATAAAGCTACAGGTGGGGGCCCTCCACATGTACACCAAGGCAAAAGCATGCCTGCCCCCTACATAAAATAAATAAATAACAATACATCTCTCTAAAGCCTAGAAACTGCAAAATCCTGTTATTGCAAAGTTAATAAATGAGACAAGCAAGCAGCCAACAAGCTGTACGCTGTATATGTCAGGGAGCCAAGTACCAATCACAGCATATCAGAATTAGTGCTGTCAGGGTGAGGGAAGCTTCTTCAGTTCTTCCCTCTGTCTTTGCATCTCTCTCTCTCTCTCTCTCTCTCTCTCTCTCTCTCTCTCTCTCTCTCTATCTCTCTCCCTCCCTCTCTCCCCCCCAGGCCTCCTTTTCACCCTGGTACCTGACATGACCTATTTAATTTGCTAAATGTGAAGAACTTACAGGAGCCAGGCATGGTGGTTTATGGTTCTAATCTAAATACTTGAGAGGATGAGAAAGGAATGCTGTGAGTTTGAAGCCAGCCTGGGCTACATAGTAAGATTCAGACCAGCCTAGACAATCAAGTTAGACCTTATCTATTTAATTAACTAACTTATTAGTCAATCAATTAAACCATGGCTGACAAATGACTGTCCATGAATCTTCAAGAGAAAAGAAGAATTCCATCCTGGGGACAGCAAAAGCTGCAAGCTCTTGGCTCTTGTGTATATCCTGTTGGCTCTCAGCATCCTTAGCCCCTTTGGCCACTGGGAGGGAAATCCTTTTGTCAGCTTGTGTGATGCTGTGAACTCATCTGTCCATCTCTTACTGCCTTTGTTCCTTCCCAAGGCCTCTCTTGTTTCCACGCCTCCATTTTTGGAGCCCCTGCTTTTGTGCCCTCTCAACCTTCCCCAGAAGATCTCATCAGAGCAGGGTGAAAGCTTGAAAAACAAGCAAAAGGGGTCAACTGTGCCCTGGGGTGGCAGTAAGTTCACTGTGGGGCTGGAGGACCCCCTCTCTCTGCCTCCAGGACCTGGTACCCTTTTTAGTAAGCAGTGAATAGCACATCTCAACTCTGTAATCCCCACAGACTCTCTTCCTCCTCCTTGGAGTCCTCCTAGAGGAGATTAAATTCTCTTATTTAAAAAATATAAGGGCCATGTTACCTGAATGAATCAGAGGAAAGGGAAGAAAGGGAACCCTGGAGTGTAAGTGGAGGCATCTAGGGCATGCATTGGGGTGTGAACCATTTTCTTTTCTGGGACATTGTGGAAAGGCCAGCTCTGTGGCCAGGGAATGATGGGGTAGCATCCCGTTCTAGTGGCTCGGCTCATTGTCCTGATGCTAAAGTGCTAGTCCCTGCCCTCTGTCCCCAAACAGCTCAAGCATGGGGAAACACATGGCCCTAGACTGTACCAGGCATCCTGTGTTTTGAGAAATGAGTCCACACACCAGTCAGGGTGTGAAGTGGAATGGGACCTCCATCCGATGGAAGATGGAAAGGAAGAGAAATGACAGTTGGGATACCTAAGTCTAGGTCCAGTTCCACAAGATACAATTTGTGTGATCGCTAGGAAACCCCCTCTTCCCCTCTCCTCTGCTCCATGCAAAGATGGTTAGCTACCCTGGTGATTTACAAAAGGACTTCCTTTAACATTGTCCTGGACATTTAAAAACCACCCTACCCCAGAGACTTGTGTTGGGAAGGACTTGGGTACCAGTGTTTCTCCAAGCTCCTCAGGGATTTTCTTATGAGCCAAACTTAAGAATAGCCTCTGAGAGTTCACGAGGAAGCAGAAATTTTGAGTCAGGTGTAGATTAGAAGAAAGGACATATGACAGGTAGGATTTTAGTTGGGGGTGTGGTAGAGGGGGAAGGGAGGGAGAAGGGAATTTGGATCATCATGTAATTCAATCTTATTTGTAATTCAAATACATAAAAAATAAAAAACTAAAAAAAAAATAAAAAAAAGAATAGCCTCTGGGGGCTGGAGAGATGGCTCAGAGGTTAAGAGCACTGACTGTTCTTCCAGAGGTCCTGAGTTCAATTCCCAGCAACCACATGGTGGCTCACAACCATCCGTTATGAGGTCTGGTGCCCTCTTCTGGTGTCCAGATATACACGGAAGCAGAATGTTATATACATAATAAATAAATAAAATCTTAAAAAAAAAAAAGAATGGCCTCTGAGGGTCTGACAGGGAAAGGCCTCTCTTTGCATTTCTATAAACCATATCTCCTCCAGTGGTCCCAGGTGAGGAGCAATGGGGCCCTTCAGCTCAGGGGAAAACAGTCCAGTCTCCTAGCTAAGTCTGAGTCCTTGCTGGACTCTCTGGGTTTCCTCCTACTTGACAGAACAGTAACAGGTTTGCCTCTCCAAGTTATCGCATTGAACTCATCTGTGCCTCCATAAGTTTTTTAAATGATGCCAGCCACACAGCAAGGGCACAGTGAACTTCATGCTTTCTTTCTCATCTTTCTGGTGCTGGGATGGAACCCACGGTCTTGTAAACTTGTGAAGCAAGCACTCTGCTGCTGAGCTGAATCCCCAACTTTGAACTTAAATCTTTTTCATAGAGGAAAACCAGGATAGAAAGAGGTACTCAGTGGGGTTGCCAGGTGATTTCTAGAGACAAAATAGAGCGGGAAGCCAGTGAGCTTGAGTCTCAGGACTTCCATCTGGCAGGGCATGCCTGGGAGCACGCGACCCATACTGCGGCTGGGACGGGAAGCGGCAGCATTGCAGCACACTTGAGGACAGTTCCAACATGAGCCTGTGGATCCAGAACATCACAGCCTGTCCTGTGAGAACCCTTGCGTGCCCTCCCCTAACCCTTCCCCTCAATGCCAGCTATGACTCTCCATCAGTATATACCCCAAGTGCCCTGGGATTTCATCCCTCCCCTGCCTTTGACTTGTGTGACAGGAGTCTTGCCCCTTATATGAGTCTGCAGGTGCGGAATGTGACACGGGATGGGGGCTTTGGCCCATGGTCACCATGGAAACCATGTGAGCACTTAGATGGAGACAACTCGGGTTCTTGCCTGTGCCGGGCCAGATCCTGTGACTCCCCAAGGCCCCGCTGTGGGGGCCTGGAATGCCTGGGGCCAGCCATCCATATCGCCAATTGCTCCAGGTAGGTGAGGACAGGATTTGTATAGTGTCTGCTTAGGACTCATGTGAAGAGAACTGGGGGAATGGGGCGTCTCACCCAGGTGTTTAATCTTCAGAGAAGTACTGGGGACTGGACAGGAAGCTATTGTCTGAGGCAGGAAATATAAGCACTAGCAGAGTTTTCTCACCAATGGAAGAATAATCTCTGCCTCATGGCATGATTGCCAAAAGAAAAAACTGAACAGGCACGGGGGTCACTGGCAAAAGCTAGCTTTGCTCTTCCAAACTTGAGGACACCATGAGATGGTGATGACCCCAGGCTTTGCCATCTAGAGACATGACTTTGGACAGACCTCTAGGCACACTTTCTAAAATAGGGAATGCAATACCCACACGAGAGTTGCTGCGAAGGTTAAAAGACAGTATGTATGTTGGGAACTATATTGCCTGGTGCTTGGGAACTGCTTAAAATGGTTATTAGCACAACTAACGCATAGTTTTAGAGACTCTTAAAATAATTATTTTATCTGCATTCATTAATTTAACCCTCACAGCAACCTCAAGGGGGTCAGAATTCAACCATTAGTCTTATTTTAAGGGTAAGGGTACCAGTAAACAGGAGAGTCCAACTTTGGCCACTGTGGTCAACTTGGGCATGGGTGTCTGAAGGAAGCTGGGGAGAGCTAATGGAGGGGAGAAGCGGGGAGAGTGAGGTCTAAGAGGAGGCTTGGGTATCTGAGAAGGGGGAAAGGAAGGTTTCAGGATGCGGTGGTAACTGAGACCTCTAAAGAGTGTGTCCTTTTGCCTGTCTGTGTAGGGGCCCGGCCCTATCACTGTGTCCTTGGCCCTGAGCACAGCCTGATATATGGAAGAAGGCTCTCAATACATATTTGAGGCATGAATGAGCAAACGGATGAATGCACGAATCTGCCTGAGCCAGCCTGGTTAGGAGCTGATATTTTCTGTGTCACTGTCTCGCCAGTCCTGACAACAATACAAAATCCATCTGCCCCAGATGCAGCCCAGATCTATGAAGCTAGGGCTCAGAGGGGCATGTGTCTCTGTCCCCTCCCACTCCACCAGGAATGGGGCGTGGACCACATGGTCATCGTGGGCACAGTGCAGCACGTCCTGTGGGATCGGCTTCCAGGTCCGTCAGCGAAGTTGCAGCAACCCGGCGCCCCGCCACGGGGGCCGCATCTGCGTTGGCAAGAGCCGGGAGGAGCGGTGAGCGAGCTGTGTCTGCAGGGAGGCGGGGATCTGGACATCCTTGCGCCTGGATTCCGGATCAGTAATGACAATACCTCTCCCTAGGGTGACACACCTCCTTTCTCGCCAGGTTCTGTAATGAAAACACGCCTTGTCCGGTGCCCATCTTCTGGGCTTCCTGGGGTTCCTGGAGCAAGTGCAGCAGCAACTGTGGAGGTGGCGTGCAGTCGCGCCGTCGGGTCTGCGAGAATGGCAACTCCTGCCCGGGCTGCGGTGTGGTGAGAGCGCGGGGCGTGGGACCGGTGGTGCGGGGTGCGGGGAAGCCTGCAGGCTCTGAAACCACCCTCACCCCGAAGGAGTTCAAGACGTGCAACCCCGAGGCTTGCCCCGAAGTGCGGCGCAACACACCCTGGACGCCCTGGCTGCCTGTGAACGTGACCCAGGGTG